ATACTAATTAAATACTTTTGGATTAGTAAAGATAACCAATAAATAATTGTATTGAAATTTAAATCTTTCTTGCCTTTGAACAACTAGTAACATTTAAAAAATTGAGAATATGCTTTTAAAAGTTATTTCATGAACGGAGAGATATTTCTTTGCCAAAACCAAAAACTCTACATAGTGACTAAAACATTTTGTCTATTGAATTTATTATCAAATTGTAAAAAATATCTGTCTTCCTCCTGAAGTTGATCACACCATCTGTTTTTATTTGAAGTATATATAATAGTCAAAGTACAGTGAGGTTAATTTTATCCTTCTTCAATGAAAACCGTTTAGGTAAGATAGAAGCAAATGATGTTGCAGAGAAAAACAATTAAAGTTCAATAATTAGACTATCTAGCTTAGAGAACAAAGCCTCAACAAAATATCTCGTATTGACCATTTCAAACAAAATCACATAATATGAATTTTTTTTTGAGGTCACCAGTCGATATTTTGTTAGTTTAGGAATTATCAGTATAGGCTTGCGAATATTGTCGAGTATTAATTGAGATCATGAACCGATCGATGATAGACCATCATTGAAGACCTGGAAGCACTGGACGGACATTTCGCCCCATTACGGGACTCTTCACCAATGCGTATCCACGATCCTGCACACAGGACTCGAACTTAGAGCATTCGGTCCCACGTGCGAATGCTTAACCCCTAGACCACTGAGCCGCTATCCAACGATTTTAATGTCTAACTTCAACCAATTCATGATATTACGTGACCGTCCTCCATTGTCTTCAGTGAGTAACTAACTTACACCCGACACAGTTGAACTCCATCGGTCACGGCTTTCCGTGGGTGCACAATGATGTGGAATCCCATACTAGAACAAAACAGAGGTCCAATACTTCGAAGTTTTCAACGGTGATCTAACATTGATCAGTTCATAATCTCAGTTTAGGAATTCACACAAAGTATCATTATTTTCTACGAACTAACTAAATGATCTGTGATTTGGTTTGTTTTTCTTTCATAAAACAAATCTAACCATGAAGAAAAAGCTAATATTATGGTAATAAAATGATTTTATTTATTATTCGATTGATCATTCAATTGTTTAATTACTGAAAATCTAAGCGAAATACTTTAAAATAGAATGTTATATGCTACATAGATAATATTTTGCTTGAGGTTATGTGATAATGTGATCTTTTTTTACTTTGTAAATTGATCTACCTTTTAATAAATAATATTTATTATATTTAATGTAGGTGTATTCTTATTACATTGTGTTTGTTTGTCGGTAGTGAAAATAATTTTGTTTCTTCTTCCTGAACTAATAAAACGATTGATATACATGGATAGAATTCCTTTTCTTTTTACTTCAGTAAATGATAATCATGTTATTATCAAAAGTATTTTCACTATGTTTATTTAGTTATTATGACTATCTAATTAATTACTAATATTGTAGAGGTGTTTAAAAGTAATAACTTCAAATTTGCTGTAGGATATGAATGGATGACCAGTTTGTTTGTTTGTTTTTTCTAGTAAGTGTCATATGGAGAATAGATTGTGTGTTGTTTTGATTTGTGAAAATTGGTTAGCATCACAAGATTTAGTTTAGTCTATTTGAATTTCGCAAAATCTTATTATTTGCTTGCTTGTTTAAACTATTAATATTCATGCAGAAATACCTAAGCACTGTTATCAATTATATATTGTAAAGTAGTGGTCAGACTTAAGTCATTTTTTATCTTATAACTTAATTGTATTTAGCTACATTACCGTGTAAATGTTAATGAGATATTTCATCATTCTGCGATGTTTCGTATGTCCGATTATAATTGCAAACTACTGAAGAGTTTCTTGATGGGATGTAAGGTATGTCCAGAGGTTCTTAGTTTAGACTGATAATCTAGGATACCGTCTAGAAAATAAGATGTTATCATAAAAAATGAAACTGCTAAGGATCATTTGAGAACAAAGTTGAGGGTTAATTCTTCTAAAAGTCTACTTTTTAGTTTTATAGTTTTCAAGAACGTGTTGTTGATATTTCGAAATGTTAAAAAAACATCAATCGAAATTTACTTCAACGTTTATCAAGGCGAAACCTAACTGTATAGACTATAGATCATTAAAGATCAGTTTAATGACGTTATTTAATGAAAAAGCAAGCTAAACATGAATTACATAAACAAATATCAAGAGTTTTTTTAAAAATAAGATGTTAGAATTACATCATATTTTAGTCTCGTTGGTGATTATCAGATTCCAAGTAAACGTTGATATTTTACAATACTAAATAGAAAAAATAACAGTACATAAATAGTCTAGATAAAGACGGTAAGATATGTATCATGTATTGTATTGAATAAAAATATTATATATTACTTCCTTACTTACACCTGTTACTCCCGATGGAACATAGACCGCTGACCAGCATTCTCCAACTCATTCAATCCTGGGTCTTCCTTTCTAGTTCTATCCAACTTTGTTCATTCTTCTCATGCCTGTCTCAATTTCTCGGCGTAATGTGTTCTTTGGTCTTCCGCTTCTGATTTAGTCTTCGGGATTCCACTTGAGGGCTTGCCTTGTGACGCAGTTTGGTGCTTTCCTCAATGTTTGTCATATCCATTTCCAGCCCTTCTTCCTGATTTCTTCCTCCTTTGGAATTCGGTCTGTTCTCTCCCACAGTAGGTTGTTGCTAATAGTGTCTGGTCAACGGATCCGAAGAATTTTGAGCAGGCAGCTGTTAATAAACACTTATATCTTCTGGTTGATGACCTTCGTAGTTCTCCAAGTCTCCGCCCCATACAGTAGGACTGTTTTGACATTTGTATTGAAAATTCTGACCTTGATGCTGGTTGACAGTTGTTTTGAGTTTCAGATGTTTTTCAATTATAAATATGCTGTTATTGCTTTACCGATTCGCGTCTTCACATCTGCATCAGATCCACCGTGTCCATCAATGCTGCTGCCCAGATATGTAAAGGTTTTTATTCAATATATATATATATATATATATATATATATATATATATATCTTCCATTGTACTGAGGTAGGTACCTGTCTCTACCAGACACGGACTAGCTCCACTGGTCCAGTAGGTTAAGCGTTCGCGCGCGAGATTGAAGGCCCTGGGTTCGAATTCCAAAATTGGACGAAATGGCCGTCCAGGCTTCCGACGGTGGTCATGATCTCAACCAAAACTTAATAATCTCCACAACCCTTTTACTGATAAATGAAACGTACTAGATCACTGATATTGCTGAGTTTAACCAAAATTGGGAGATAACGTTGCAGTTAGTAATTAATTGATACGCTTCTAGATAATTTGAACAGTTAAAAGAATAATCTGATTTATAATATAAATTGCGTCTCGATGGTAATGTGCTATTGAGAAATTTCGATGTATGAGCAAACAGATGTTCCGTGCTTCCTGCTTCTCAGTATTTTCTAAGCTGCTTTCAATTGTTAAAAAAACATCTTTAAAATGCGACTTGTGTTTCTTGTCTCTGTTCAACAAACTATTTAACTCTAACAAATATAAACTAATTTTATATGTATAAAAATCACTTGGTACATTTCGTATCAGATTCATATTAGAGTATGTGAGTGAATAAATCAAATAATTCATTACCGTTTCAAAAAATATGTGACTTTCATGTATTTTCGATTTTGCACTCAAATACAAAGGAATATCAAGTTATAAATTATGTTGTCATAATCACTGTTTAGGATTTAAAGTTCTTCGAGTGATATTGTTTAAATTATATCTATTGGTGGATAATTAGGTTTGACCTCACTGAAATTTTCTTGAATAAAATATCTTCAAACTGGGTGCTAGAGCATCAAATTTAGGAAGTTTGGTAGTATATTTGGATATACATATAAATTGGGAAATTCGTTGACATGTAATTACTTTTGGAATATGATTCTAACTTATTTGTAGATAAAGCGGTAATATTAATAATAAAGAATGGTTGAGCGAACAATTGTTCTCAATACCTTCATCATCAGGCTCTACAATCATAAGTCCGTATTTTACAAATGACAAAATAAGGCATGTATTAATGAATTTGACAATGTTATATGTTAAAAATGGTGAAAGTTTAGATCTGTTACGAAACAATTAGTTCAAAATTGTGTTATTTGTAAATTAGAAAGTTTATTTAATGAAGGTCAAAATGATTTATAGTAGCGTCAAGTCCCAATCAATGTAATAGTAATATAGCAAAAATGAAAATGAAAGACAATCGTGTGAATAAAATGCATAGTAGGAGAATTTCATCTTGTTAATTGAGGTAATAATCATATTAGCAATCGCAATAATATGTTATATAGGGAATGTTATTAAGGTCATAAAAGAATTCATGTAAATTTGTAAACATGAATGTGGAGAATGATATGTAAACACAAAAGGAATTGGGAGAGGAAAATAAGAGGTCTATATTATCCAGTTTAGGTATCCAGTGATCCAATCGTGGGCCACGATAAACATAGATTCTGGATACATAAGTTCAGTTTTCTGTAATTGATCCAAATAGCTTCAATTATATTGAGTAACCATAATGTAGCACCTTGAGGTAGACACTTTAGAACTTGATATAAAACAGAGAAAGTTTCATCTATTTCAATATAATGTTTACTATCTATCAAGTGAGCAAGAACAGTACTGTTAACCGATTTAGTAACTCCTTTACCCAACCATGCTAGTACGTGTCCACGAACACCCAATGACAAAGCCCTCTAAGCACGACAGGAGCAGTTGAATTGGTATACACACATAGAGGAACTCATCATCAGTAACCTAACCTTAATTTGTTGTATAAGTATTAATTCAGTTGAGAAAACATCCTTTCAACAAATCTTTTGAGTATTATTAATTTAAGCTTTTTTTTCTCACTTTGATGATTTTCTAATCATTAAGTTGATTTTATGCTGAACTAACTATTTTATCATACTATCTCACTATGATTTCACTATTCTTATTTTCTTATAACAGATATTATATTTATAAATGAATATTAAGCATCTATCATTATTTCATATGTTACAATATAATTTCAAATTGAATTTGATGCTATTAAATTATTATTATTCCTTTAAATTTTGGATATTATTTTATATTTGTACATATCTACCTCATTTATATGATGGATGTCAAAGTATAGCAAATATAAAAATTACTGAATACTCTACTGAACAATTTATAAATCAATCTAATTTTAATACAATTCATTCATCATGGCCAATAAATCCAATGAATTCACAATTATCTATTAATTTAAGTGATATATTATTACAAAATTTACATTTATCTATAGATGATATAAATGAACCATTATATTTCTCAGATGTAGAACAAAATGAACCATTTATAATACGTCGAAGAGTAAATGATGATTATTCAAAATATCCATGGTATGAATTAACTTCAATTATTCCAGTGAATCGTGAAACAATATGTGATATAAAACGTTATCCAGAACGTATATCAATTTCTCAATTATGTTGTTCAACAAATACACGAACAACGACAACAACATCATCATCAACAACAACAATAACAAACATGGAAGCTAATCTTCATAGTAAAAATATGTATACTTTTAATGATCCATGCTGTATGTTTTTAGATATTACTATTTCATCAAAAGGTACACATTCTCTTCGTATTGATATTAATGATTTAAATGATAATGCACCGAAATTTCAAGAATTAATATTTGGTAAATCATTAATTAATAAACATGATAATTATGGTAGATTTGTTATAAATATTATAGAAAATACACCTAATGGAAGATGGATACCATTACCTAAAGCAACAGATTTAGATGAAGGATTAAATGCTTATGTACAATATTCTATAAAATTACCAAATAATGAACATGTATGGAATGATTATTTTAAATTAATAGATAATGTACAAAACAGTAATATTGACACAATGTTTATACCTACTAAAGTTTATTTAAATGCTGATATTATTGAATTTAATGCTTTAGCTACAGATTACAATGGTCCTGGATTACTTATATTAAAAACATTAGATCGTGAAGAAATTTCTAGTTTCTCATTTATTTTAGTTGCAACTGATATGGGACAACCATTTCCACGATCTAGTTCTTTAAATATTTGGTTACGAGTAAGTTCACCTTATTTAACAAATTATTTGTTTGTTTATTAATTTATTTTTCAGAAATAAAGCTGAAATCCTTGATGATCTATTATTATATTTGAAAAGTCAAGGTGGATGACCTATTTTTCAGTATGGTGTAACTGACTGTAACTCTTAAGATTTTTCTCACATTACAGCTCTGAATTAAGGTCTCATGTATAAAAGGATATAGAAAGTGAAATGAGAAAATATTGGATATCAGTTTAAAAAGCTTTTGTACAAATATGATTTATTTTGGCAATACAACATTTGTTATTAACATTAGATCTGTACACCGTTAATTTGTTACCTTATTATAAATGCTAATACAATAAAAATTAAATCAGTATAATTTTAAGTATATTAATTTCAAATATTATACTTAACTTCGTTATTACAGTTGAATATTATTTCTTAAATTAACTAATAAATCGCTTAAAGTACTAGGATTTATAAACCTACTCAATACTAGCTGTTTATACAGGCTTTATGACGTTTGTAAAGATTGTAGTAATTTCATAGATGAATTCATGAGTCAATGTAAGCTGGACCACCATGGAAAACCTGAAGGAACTGGATGGCTGTTTCGTCCTAGCACGGGGCTCCCCAGCATTACATCTTTGACCTTCATTCGGGACTCTATTCCAGAACCTTCTATCTCGAGCACGAATGCTTAACCTCTAGACCACTGAGCCAGCATCCAGTGATGCTAACCTCTAGCTTCCATCGATCCATGAATGGTTGTGCAACCATTCATCCATTGTATGGGGTATATACCTGTCTCTATCTGACACGGATTGGACTCGATTGCTCATGGCTTTTGACTAGAACCCCAGAGAATCATCTTGAAGCCAGTCACTTGTGAGAACATGATGGTTGTGATCAGAATAGGATTTGTGGAGATTGTAGTAACTTAATAGTTGAATTTATGAGTCGATGTAAGCTAGACCACCATTGACGTGTCCCATACCAGGACGAAACGACCGTAAAGTACTTCCAGGTTTTCAATAATGGTCTCGCTTACATCAACTAATAAATTCAACTATTAGAATTTTCTCTGAAAGTTTACTGTAGCCAATAAATTAGTTTGCTTTTATTACAGTTTTCTAGAATATATCAAGAAAACACAACTGTACACCACTAAGAAATATCTGATCGAATTCCCCCATTGTGATTGAAATCATCATACAAGAAGAAGGGATTATGAATTTTCATTGGTGAACTTTAGCGCTTCGTCATTGTCACAAATGTCCCCTTTTTAATTCATTCAATCCCGGTTTAAGAATAAAATAACTAATTCCATGAAAACATCCATAGCTACTGCAAATGCAAAAAAAATAAATTTCTGTCAAAAATATAAAGTATTTAATTGTAAATCTTGTTGTTAGTTTCAAAATGGACTACTAAACCTTATTTAGTTAGTGCAAAGGAGTTCTATGATTGTCGCGGTAACTTCACTGTTTTTTCTACACATATAGAAAGAGCAGTTAGAAATGTCATGAACTGGAAACAAAAAATATACTATAAAAATCAAGTTAAGACAGTTACCACTCCACTCTCACAGGGAACATTACGGGTTTAAAATCGTCAAATAAGAGTTCGAAACTAGTCAAAAATACAAACAATCTCATATCTTAATTTCACCTAGCTATAAAATGACTTATTGTTACTTAGAAAGTGAATTTTTCATGTATTTTTGCCACGCTGGTGAGCAATCGTGATAACTAGAATTCATTCATGTTATCTGTTGAAATTGGAAATACATGACGTTAAATATCAGCCGAATGACATTGACGAGATCGATTCTTTCCAGTCATAGGATCATGAGGGAGGGCTGCTAAACCGTCTCAAAGTTAAAGAAGTTTATTTAACAGGACAGAATTTTCAATGTTTACTCAACTAATGACGGTTCTTGACGAAAACTGTCAAAAATTGCGTACATTTTCTTTTGTTTTTGATATTAATTATAAAACGTATGTATGACTCAGTAAAATTGCATGTTGCCTCAGATTTAATTTAAGTTAAAGCATCAAACAAAGTTGATTACAAAACACTATACTCAATGACAGACATTCGTTTTTATCTGTTCTAATCTGTTATCAGATGTTAACTACCACAATACACTTACATATTCAGTTTTATTGAGTTTAGTATTATAAATTTTGAAACCCTGTTGCTTTTTTGTTTTAACTAATAATTAGATTACACAAAAAATCTTAAAAATTCTGATCGTTATATTCAGTTCCATAAATTAACATGAAAAGTGACAAATCACGTTAGTTTATTATATATATACAATTCGTACTATACAGAGATGAATGGATTTAATCTTGACTTGTATTACATTAAGGATTCAGTGACGATTTATAATCTAATCTAACCAGACATACCATATTTATTATCAAAAATGTGATCAGATATATGTGTTATTCTTAGAGAATTCAGATGTTACATAGGAATGTTTCAATACTTTAAAGTATTAAATTCGTCTCAGTGATATATTCCTCTTTTTTTTCATTCAAATTTCAATTAAATTCATTCATCTGGTTTTTTTTTTTTATTTTTAACTTTTGTTAATTTAATTATACAAATTTGGACTCCAAGTTTCGAATTGACTGATTTTGGTTTTCATACACTCGAAAAAAGTATTGATTTATAATGTATATTTATAATTTATTTATTTGAAAACATAAATATTGGTACAAAGGGGAACCGAATACATATGCACCACACAATTCACTTGAGTCGTGTGTAGGCTGTGCCCAAACCAAATCAAGTGGTTTTCTTAGGGGACCACACCCGAAGCCTTCGAACTGAAGGTCTGATCCACAAAACGGTGAAGCAAAACAGGAGATGCAGTCCCATGGAAGCCGGTGACCAACAGTTGGTTCATGCTCCATTTGTTCCTTCAGGATCCTGGAGCCTATGTGCATCATTGCTTTGGAATCGAGGTTTCTCAACTCCCCTAGGTGGACCTTATGTGTCTACAAACCCGGTCAAAGCACCGAACATTATCTTTTTGCCTCTCGATTTCGTAAATAACTTCCCCACTGTGAGAAGGTAGTGAACAGGACTTCCGTGTCAGTGGATGTATACGCGTGGCCATGTCAGAGCGTTCCGAGAGGGGGAGCTGACTCTCCCTACCCTTGGCCATACCAGGGCATTTGGGGGCTGTATAATGTATAATTCTAGTCTATTTAAAACAATTTCATTAGAAGTTTGCTTTGAAATCTGAAATGCTAAACTTTCTAGTTAATGCTTAAATTATATTAATTTAATTGACTATTTCTTTGTTCATATCAGGTTTAACGGAAATGATAGTTGTTTATGTCAAACTATATACTAATCAATTTAAGTGATACTTTTTAAATCTTGTACCAAATGTCGCTTATATGTTTATGACAGTAGTTTATTCATTTATAGAAATAACTTATTTTATGAAAATTATGTTTGCCTATTAAGCTTTATTTGATTATTTTACACTGATTGAATGATTCAATACACAATCATCAGTATGTTAACATGAAATAAAAATTTATTAATTTATAAAACAATGTAAGAGAAACAATAGTTTGTTCAGTATCAAGTTTGTATGTAAATTCTGAGTAAGTTTCTGCACTTAGAGAATGTGAAATAGTTATACAGTTTCATAATTAGTTTCTTGTTTATAAAATAGATTTCATAATATTGATATTTACTACCAGTAAAATTATCATTTCATATTGTCTGCTTGATATTTCATTCATTGAATAGATTTGTGTTAATTACATGTTAGGTTACTTAGATCAATATAAAACTAACCTATATTTTAAGTTATTTATGACTGAATAACTGTAGTTTGATTGCATGTACAAAATCTTGAAGATTTTGAAAACTTGTATATCTCAAGTTAGAAGGAACTAAACAAGTAATAATAAGGTAAAAACATTCACGATGAAAAGAAATAATGTTGTGTATAATAGAACCGTGCGTAGAATTGAGTAGGATATATTAAGAATCATTGCAAAAGTTAATGTACTTGTATGTAGTAATTAAATCGAATGATTTATAGAGCTTAAATTGATCTGAGTATACTTTCATCAGTTACAGGACTTGAGGTAGGACCGTTATTTTGAACAGCTGTATTGTTTCATTTTGGAACACTTCAGCATCATTCTTTCATGAATTAGAAACAATTATTCATTATTCATTTATTCCCAATGCTAAAGTAGTGACGAACATCACCTATAAAATTTTTTAGCTTTATATAAACTGTAGCTAAAGAATAACTATAGAGTAAGTAAAAATTGATTTTATCCTACAACTATTTTTACTATTGACATTAAATAAAACTAAATGTAAACTCAAGTAAAATTTTATTTTGATAAATTTAAACAATGACTAAACCTAATAGTAGAATTTCCTGTAGTTTACCTCCGGGCATTGAAAATTCATATTTTTTTTGTTTATATAGATAAAATCTTATAAATAAAAACTGTATCCTTTCAAAGAAAATGTCATCAACATTATCATAAATAACTTGAAATCATTCCATTTTATATCAATGAGGTAGGCATAGAAGTTTCTCAATTTAGTTTATAATAAATTTGTAGATTTACGATACTATCATTAAATAGTGAGATGGGTAATATTATAATAGTCTTATAACAGATGGTTAATTTACAACATTGAATAAGATCAATTTTGCCTACTTTTAGTTTCATTGATGTATGAACGTATAGTTTTCAAAAAAAAATGTGTTCTATATTAAATGGTAAAGTATCAAGAGATAATCATTTGATAGCCGTACTTCTAACAGTTGATTATGACCTTGTGTCCTATTAATATATAACAGTGACTTATCGATCTGACCAATGACGCATATAATCCGTACGAACAGTCTGAAGTCCTTATCTGTTCTTTTTCTTGCCTAGCCCTAACTATTGAGAGTCCAAAGTACTAATCACAGCCTCTGCGATATGAATCATACATTTCAAACATACTGGGTT